GAGAGGGGGGGCTGGTGGGGCCACCTCCCACTGGCACGCCTTGCTCCTGGTAGCCGTAGCCGATGTTTCCACATGGGAATCTTCTCAGTCTGTACAGAGGAACTGGAGGAAGGGCGGCGGAATCTAGAAGCAGAGGGGACTGGGTGGCAGGATGGGGTGGAGGTGGTAACAAAGGCCTGCACAGACCCTGCTGCTGCTGCTGCTGCTGCTGCTGGTGACGATGCATCACAGAGCAATCGATTTCACTGAAGGAGAAACTGCTGACAGATCTCTGCTGCAGCTCTGAGCTTTAACTTGAAATCTTTACAGCCTTGAATCCCAAACCCACAGTCCAGGACAACATTCTCCAAAATATTCTCCAAACCTGCTGAGCTGCTGAGTCCAGTTTGGTACTGGACTCAGCAGCTCAGGACAAGAAATCTGGACAAGAATGTCACAGTCACACACACACAAACACACACACACACACACACACACACAGGTGGAGGTGGTCAGGCTCCAGTGCTCCTGGACAATTCCACTGATTATGTCCAGGCTGCACCTGGACACCGTCAACATGCAGCACTGATGGACGGACAGCGTCTGATGTTGCTGTCAGTTGGTTTGTTTTTTGTTTGGTGTGTGTGTGTGTGTGTGTGTGTGTGTGTGAGTGTGTAACTTGCTGGGAGCAGTAATAACCTTTGTGTGTTTTTCACTCCTCACTGGTGTGAACTGGGCGTGGCTCAGTGTCACATAACTCACAGCGCCCCCGTATGGTTTTGTCTGAGGTTAGCCAGACCATTAGTGAGGAATGTCACAGCTCCAACCACAGGATTAAAGATAATCTGACAGGATTAAAGAAATGAAACGTGTCTTTAATTAATTAATGAAAAATACATTGATTTGCTTAGATGCTGTTTGAAAAACCTGTTCTATTTTGGTTTCCTTCAGCTGTTTTGTCAACACATCAGCTTGTTCAGCCCTCAGTGGTCATTAACAATACAAAGGCTAACATGTAGCAGTCATAATCACAGAGAATCCTTTGCCAGTGTTTTTGCTAAACATTTGGTGTTTGGTTTTATTCTTTGCACATTTCACTATTCATGTCAGACCCCAGACTATTCTTTACAACTTATTTTATCATTTATACTTTATAACTTTCAGGATAAACATTTGATTGAATTGAACAGATTTTTGGGGAACAGTTTTGGCTCGTTTACATTTTCATTGCTCTTTTTCTTCGGGCACATTTCAAGTTCGTTTTCTGTTAACACTGAACCACTTTACTCTCTAACAGTTCAACATGAACACTGACCACAGACTTTTGGTTGAGAGGAGACTGAGCACAGACCACAACTACACCAATCAATAGTCTTTTCATGTGTGTGTGTGTGTGTGTGTGTGTGTGTGTTGAGCTCACTTACACTGTTGCCATTTAGAGCCAGCTGTCACCTTTTTACATCCGCCCAACAATAACGTGTGTGTGTGTGTGTGTGTGTGTGTGTAGCAGCAGCAGCTGTAAATCAGGCAGCAGACCTGAGTGAGGTTTTAAGAAACAACTTTGTTTTCAGAGTAGAACAGAGATTAGACACACACTGCATAACTGAATCAGTAACAAAGTAGTCAGAGAGGTTTAGCTGAGCTGTGACGACCCAACCTGCTGATCAACACGTGGCCCCAGACCTGGAGATATTTTAATCTTGTTTCAGATACTGGTTTGTGTTCAAACATGGGAATAAAAGACAGAACTGTTATTGCTGTCAGGACCCTAGTGGGCAGGAAAGGAAGTGCGGTCATTTTTACCATCTGTAATCTTTTAGAAAGGAGCTCCAACATAATATACTAGTCTGACAGAACACTATGAGCACCACAGACTCACCCCCGAGGAGGTTCTCCTCCCACCTCTAAAACAGTCACCATCATAGAAATCCATCTCTCCATAAGCTCCTCAGCAGCAGCAGCAGCAGCAGCAGCAGCAGCAGCAGCAGCAGCTTCTGACCCTGATTCCCTGCTCTAATCTAATCCCTTCATGTCTTCCTGAAGATTAATCCTCACAGACGTGGTGTCAGATACAGGAGAGCAAAAATCAGGGAGGAGGAGAAGCTGGAGGAGGGAGACGGAAGAGAAGGGGGGGTGGGCTTCAGTTTCTCACCCTGTCAGAGGCCTGATTGGAGTGGAGATATTTTAAAAGTGATAACATCAGCATCATTTGAACTGTTTATCTCCCAGTTTTCACAGGGGAGGGGGTGAGTGTTGTGGGTGAGAGTGAGGCTGAGGGAAGACAGTGAAGTGGATGTGTTCTAACAGAGACCCTGCACCACTTTAGCTGTGAACAACAGAGACAAAGACAGAAGGAGAGGAAAAAAGGAGGTGAGAGCTACAGTATCATAGACAAACAGAGGAACCACAGGTGGAGGAGTGGGGGAGGGGGGGGGCGACCTGTAGGGGGATCTCCTCTCCTCCCACTGCTCCTGCTCCATCACTGCAGCAGCAACTGGGTTATTCATCATCCCGACAGAGTGGAAGACACGCTTCCTACAAGGCAGAGGGGAGGGGTCACTGCCACGTGGACCGCCACTCAATCCAGATTCAACAACATCAAATTCTGCAAATCTAATGAGTTACTGATTTCACTTTGTCAGAGTAAAGATTTTTAAACATCAGACAGATTCAAGTGGAACATCACGTCTTCACTTTCAAACAGTCTGCTCCGTTACGCCCCACAGGTCAGCCATTTTGAATTTCTTTTCTGTAATTTCAAGATGAAGTGTTTTAGTTTTGAATTGACTCATCAATGTTAAGGTACAGTCATAGTGCCACCTACTGTCGGGACAACTCTTCTCCCGTGCGTTCCCCCGAATTCATTGATGAGGAAGGATGAGCCGGTAGCTCAAAAATAAAAGCTTTATTGAAGTAAAATAAGGCAAACAGAGCTGTGGGTTCTTACCACCTTCAGAGACGACCCTGAGAGGAGGAACGACCCCCTTCTCACTTTGCTTTCTTACATGCTGTCGGGGCAGTTCATGCAGTTCATGCACGCTCACCTGGAGGCCATGTTGTAACCTTCCCTAGGGCGCGCTCCTGAGTCACCTGGAGGCCAATGTCTTTGTTCAAGTGTTTTCCTTTTAAGGACTTGTTTTCGGGGTCTTCTCAGTTATTTGCCATCGCAGCAGTTTGCTGAGAAGGTAAAATGGGGAGTGTGTGTGTCAGCTGCGCAGGAGTGTGTGTGTGAGGTGTGGACAGCTGTACGTGTAGACTCTTTGGACGTAAGGCAGTAAAACCAACAGTAAAGGTCAAGATAATGAGAGCATGCTGCTAATGGAAGTGTGCTTAGCTTACACACACACACACACACACAGTGTAGCTTACACACACACACACAGTCACGTGGTAAGAGACAGGCGAATGCACCGTCACCTCTTTGAAGTCCACGATGGTTTTTCAGGCTAAGTCAACGGAAAAGGCTTCGTCAGCTAGTCCAGGAGTCGATACTCATGAAATATTTAGTTTGTTCTAAACACTCTGCTGTGGAAACAGGTCCTCTGACACAGACAAGACACTCAGAGGACACTCAGAGGACACTCAGACTGTAGATGAAGTAAACGGTTCAAACAGGTAGCTGAGGGTGAGGAGTCACAGATTCGTTTGTAAATGAGAATGAATGGGAATTCTGGAACGCTGAGGAATCGTCCCAGCGTGTTGGGAGGAGGTGGGTGTGGCTGCCCAGACGTCCTTCCTGGTTCTGGTCCTCAGACCTGGCTACATGAACATGTCTGTGGGGACAGAATCACCAGGTGGACTGAGCCTCTGCAGTAAAGATCGTAAGGTGTTGTTGGAAGACAGTCCGCAACTTTAGCGCCCCCTGTGGGTCAGGGAAGGGTAATTCAAAGAAGCAGGGTGTGATCAGAAAGGATGAGTGAAAGGACATGTGTGCTGGGACATCCAGGAAGTGCAGTCCGTCCTGCAGCAGCGTCTGGACAAAACGCCGACAAGTGCATGGTCTCAGGAGTGGGTTTGTAATCACGTTAGTTCACCACAGAGGAGATCACTGAGCAGTGTCGAGGACCACAGCAAGTCTGTGTCAGTCATACAGTCGTACTGTGACGTACATCAAGAGGCCAGTCATCTGACTGTGTCTGAGGAGCTGGAGAATCATCACGTCATTACTCCTGTACTCCTCACAGCCCCTCCCCCCATGAAATGATGCTAGATTCCACCCCCTTCAGTTTACATGCCCCTGGCTACAATAATGGATCCTTTCAGACTCATCACTATACTGTTACCACAGATGCCTGGCCTCCCCCCTCCTCCTCCCCCCCCCCCCCCCCCCCCCCCCCCCCCCCCCCCCCCGCGGGTGCAGTGATGTAAAATTCAGGGGGGCATGAGTAGTGGTAAGTAGTGAC